TCCACGTGAACGCAGGACCAAAGGTTTCCCAGCAGGACGTTGCAGAACATTGCCTTCTTTGCACAGTGTATCCTGCTATCACCTATCAAACAATACATATGACTTAATTTAAAACATGAAAAGGCGATTTAACACCTTCCTTCATTGCTCCATGGTCCAGTTCTAACACGCCCCCTGTAGACGCTTGACTGGACAATCTACTCATCAAAATTAAGTCCTTGTCAAAGTCTCTTCTATCCCATTTTTCCTGCTTCAAATATATCAACCATTCAGTTTCTGCCTCATTTATCTCTCTCCCTGACAAGTTCCATTGTAACGAGATAATCGATGTCATTCACTTCACCTGTCAGTGGTTTTAATGTTGTGGCCGATCGTTGTACATTTAACAAAGATGTAATCGTGCTAGAAAGCAAGCGAGTGTTTCTGCTTCAAGGGAAGCCAACAAATTACAGCGACTAAGACTGGAAATAAATCAGTGGTGAGAGACGACATTTAGAGAGTTATACTGCATATACTGCAATAACACTGCAGCCTTTACATTTAAAGGATAAAGTGCCATTGATTTTCTCATCTAATTCTCCACCACAAAGTGAGTAAGCATATTTCCCAAAATGTTAAACAATCCCTTTAAACGGCTCGCAGATTGAAAAAAAAAAAATGCACATAATCGGAGATTTCTCTGTAGTTCTCTAGTAACACATAAATGGATTTTATGATTTATGTACTAATGAACTAATGTAAAATCAGTGCCTAGCTGAAGATTATACAACTAAAACAGAGACACTGATTTGTTTTTATGAAATTATTCAAATAAATGAACTTGGATACCTTCAATGTTCTGTTTCAGCTTCATCTTCTCATCTGAAAGTTCGTTATCTTCTATCACCTGAAACAGGACAAAGAGTTGAGTCAGTTAAAGCAATGACATCAAATGCATATTAAACTCCTGCAGGTTTTCTATCTTCTCCCGACTCACGTTTGCATCGTGGGACGTGTAGCGGTCGGCCTGGATGGCCTGCAGCTGGTTCGCTGTCACCCTCAGCTTCTCCTCCAGCTTCTGAATCTCCTCCTGGCTCTCAGCCTGAGCTTTCTGCAGCGCCTCGTAGTCGCTCATCTTCTTCTCTGACAGCTCTAGCCTCTCCCTCAGCTCCTCCCTGCTCTCATCCTGCTCCGCCTGAAGCTTCTCCATCTCCAACAGCCTCTGCTCCGCCTTGTGCAGCTTATCAGCCGCCTCTTCCAGCGCCTGCTTCCCGCTCCGGGCCTCTGCCTCGGCCCTCCACGCCTGGCTGCCCTCAGCCAGCTGGTCTTTGGCCTCCTGGAGACGAGAGCTGAGGTCCTCGCGCTCCTTGCTCAGAATGGCCGCTTCGATCTTGTGCTTGGCTTTCAGGTTCTCCACCTCCAGCTGGTGCTCCATCTTCAGGCTCTCCAGAGAGGCTCTCAGCTCCTGGGCGTCCTGCTCTTGGCCTCCTGGAGCAGTGTGATCGCCACTAAGAGACGCCTTCAGCTCCTCCAAGGACCGCTGGTGGTCGCTCACTAAAGTGTCAAATTTAACCTGAAGAAAAAAGTGAGAAGACATATAAAATCCAACATTCTTGTTGTACTCACTATACCGTGCCAGTGGGTTATTCCATCTCCAACAATAAGCGGCCTTCTGCTCAGCCATCTCTGCTATGTTGAAACTTTTTCTTATTGTAAACTGTGGATATTTAAAATGGTATCTGTAAAATCTTACCGTAATATATCAAACACCTTGTAATTTTTTAAAAATGAACAGTTTATCCACTTGAAGCACATTTTGTTGCACATTTAAAATTGAGGCCATGTTTTAAACCACAATATCTGAGGAACTATTAGAGATAGAAACTTGAAATTTTCAGCTATTCCCCATCATGCTTTTGCTTTTATGATGTTAATGTCATCTTAATGACCTAATGCAGTGATAATTCCTAAAGAAACTGAAGAAAGTGTTCAAGCTTTATGCCTACAAAGTGGGGTCCGAAATAAAAAAAATATGCCCATATTAGAAAAAATAAGACCAATAAAATGGATTATATTTTAAGAACCATTTTGAAACTCCCAAACTCTAGTATTTTTTTTTAGTTGTTATTTTATAATTTATCATACCTGCTCAATCAGTTGTAGAAGTAACTTTTTTTCACTTTTGTGACCAATTATTTTATATTCAAAAGTATTCTATATGTTTAGCCTTGTATTATTGTAACATCTAACTACATATGGTTCAGAAAATATCACTTGTTGACTTCTGCATTGTTATTTATTTATTTTTTTTTTTGGATGGGACTTGTCATGACAGCATCAGTTTGTTCTTTTCAAATTTCAGCTCACCTATAATCAGAGATTTGAGCTACTTGTGTAATATTACAGATTCTCATTCAATGACATGATGAGAAAAAACAGTGAAAATTTCAGGTTTTTATCGTGAATCTTTTCTGAGATGTTGTCATTCAAACATAACCTCAAATTTTAATGTGAGAAAAAATGCACTGAAATTGGATCTACGGGAAATTTGAAAAAATAAAAATAAAATAAATTGGAAGGTGTTGGCTATATTAAGCTAAAATTCCCAAATACCTTCATAAATATCCATATTTTATGCTTTAAATCTCTCAGAAGAAGGTTGAGCACAATTGTTTTACAAAATTTGGTGATTTCAGATGGAATGTGCTTTTGGTTTTCCAGTCCAACACTTTGTGGGGCAACACATGAAAACTGTCACATTAGCAAACAGACTTTTTCACAGAGCAGAATACCTTCCAGGTGTCCATCATTTCCACGTTTTCCTTGTTGGCCTGTTGGACTTTCTGCTTCATCTCGCTGATCTCCAGGTTCTGTTTCTCCACGACGGCCTTCAGCGAGTCAACCTCCTGCCGGCCGGCCGCCAGCTCGGCCTCGTACTTCTCTTTGAGCTCGCTGCTCTCCTTGTGGTGTTCGCGGCCGACCGACAGCAGCTGCTCTCGGAGGAGGAGGGTCTCTGGCTGGGCGTCGGTACCCGGAGCCGCCTCGCCATCGCTGGCTTTCTGCGAGCTCGTGTCGGCCCCTCTGAGCTGAGCCTGGAGGTCCTCGATCTCTGCTCTCCGGAGGGACAGCTCCTCCTCCAGCTGCACGATACGACTCTGCTCCTCCACTGTGGTTTGCTGACGAGGAAGGAGACAACATCCATCAGTGCTTTTGAAGGGTTTTCTTAACTGCTGCCAGAGCAGAAAGCTGTCAGCCTTTCAGAGGAATGACTTTTTTTACTGCAACAGGTGGAAAACCTTGGAACAGAATGACGTCATTCCAATGTAAGGTGACACTAAGAGCAGAAATCAGGCCTCAGGAAAAGAAGGAAATCTACCACAAACTCCTAAAGGTGCTTTGCAAAGACTTCAGACAGTCAAGGGCATTCCAGTGAATATAGAGTACAAATAAATACATACAGTATGTGGACAGCAACAGATTGTTTAACAGTTTGGTTCCCTGATGTTTGTCTTACATATGAGATGATACAATGACTCCAAAAAATATTATTTTTTATTATTCTTAACACATTAACTGCAAATACATTTTTAGCATTTCCAGTTTTTGAAAATGAAGTGTATTTTAAGAACCCAAAATTGTGGGACATTCAACTTTTCAACCGTCCTTGAACTGCTCATCTGTGATATTTAGTTCAATCAGGAAAATGACCCAAATCTAAGCTTAAATTTAGGATATTTTCACCCGACACTGTAGTTCCTCACCTCCTCTGTGGAGTTTCTTTTTGGAACTTCCCTGCACATTTACTGTTAGATTTACCAACTGATTTACTACCTGGTAAACACAAGAGCGCATCTACCTATGACTGAGAGCCCATTTTGTTTAGAAGCTGATAAAGATAAAATATCAGATATTGCAGATTTAAGTTTAGCCAGAGCCGGATTAGCCTTACAACCCTGTTTCCATTCTTTATGCTAAGCTAAGCTAACCACCTCCTAGCTCGAGATTTATACTATCCGTCGTATCATCTGACTGCAACGAAGAATTCAAATTAACATTTTTTCTCAAAAGAATAAATATCTAATATCTTGCTATCAAGTTTCAAACTCTGATTTTTGAATTTGTTGTGTGACTTTGCAGGTCTGTAGAACTAAACTTGTCTCTCTACTAATCTGAGGCTTCATGAATAACACTATAGACTAGTATATACTGTCCATAACCTGAGAATAAATGAGATGAAACACATGCTGTGAAACTGTTTCTGGTATTCTTTTTCTACCAGCTGTATAAAGAAACTTTGCACTCTTGCAACATAAATGTAACTGAAGTGACGCCGACATTCATTAATATCTGATCAACAGTGAAAAATCAAAGCAAGACCTATGGGTCCTGTGGAAATAAAACGACAACCTGTGAAAATATTTTTGAAAAGTTTGCATCAATATATTTTTGCGCTACATGGGAGCAGCGGAAGAGTCGTTTAATAATGAATGTCAGCCCGATATTGAACCCCGTTTTAATTCTGTTTGGTCTAAAAACCAACTCCTGAAGGAAATATTCAGCTCTTCAATTGCTAAAAACTCCACATAGTTCACCAACTAGTTATTAGTTTTGCCTTCTCTGAAAAGAGATTCTTCTGAAAATTAAGCTAATTAGGACCATTGACTGCATAAAAGTTGGATGTACCCACCGGGGCTGAAAAGGGAAGTTAATGTCATAGTTCCTTAAATATACATTCTTTCAAACAGCCAGCAGAGGGCGACTCCTCTGGTTGAACAACTAAGTCTGATTAAATACAAGTTTACAAAATAATTATGCTATTTTTCATTGGATTTGTTACCTTAGGACACTTTTTCCAAATGAATTTTTGGCTTTAATCACTAGTTTCAAATCTCCTTCAACATAAAAGGATATAAACTTAGTTTAATTATGGTCCCATTTAGAGTAAAATAGAAGATAAAACAGCATATGTTTGAGTGTCTTTAAGTTCTAGTCAGATCTACCCCTCACTAGTCATGGCAAAAACCATAATTACGAAACAGTTGGTGACATCACAGCAGCTACATCCATCTTTTCTGTAAATTGTTTTGTAAATACAGGACTGAGCTTGCAGGTTGGAAAGTCAAAACAGCAGCGAAATGGACCAACAGAGTCAGGTGATTTTTCTATGTGGGTTTGTCTGCTGTAAAAATATTAACACAGCTTCTAAATGACTCTTTTCAAGTCTTGCTGATGGTTTCTACTATCCCTCTTTCTAGCAGGCCATAGCTGCCGTTGCTCATTATTTCTGAGGAGTGCCACCAAATTACTGGCACCACCAGGGGTATGTAGCTCGCAGAGGATCAAAGCCCAAACAAACCATTATACTCATTATTTGCACCTGCTGCCCTCATATTTAATTTCAAAGGCTGCACTTAACCCTGTGAACCTTAAAAAAAAAAAAACATCGGTGGGTTTTAAAGCCATATTGTCTTTTAAAAAAAGGTCAAAATTACAACATTTATCACAGCAAGAAAATGCAAAAACATAAAGCATTGTTGGGTTTTTACCTTTCTGACACTCCTGCTGTTTGCTTGGGAAAATTAACCAAATATAACCTTAAAACTATGATATGTTCTTCAAAATCGCTTTATTCTACATGTCAAATATTAAAAAATCGCCAAAAATAAACCATTTGAAGTAATTAGATTCTTTAAAAAAACAAAAAATGATTAGTGACTGCTGTGATCAAGAGTCAGAAGAGAAAAATTAAGGGATTTTTAGCTGAACTATGCTAAACTGCAGGCTGTGTTTACAAAGACCAGATAGGAAACAAAATATAAGTAGTAAAATGTCTACATTAGGTAGAGTTATTATTGTTATTCCAAGTATTGGTAACACCTGTGGACACTTGGAAAAATGTTATTCAAGTTGATCCAAGGTTTTTCAATTTTTCTAAAATAAGTAATCAAAGAAATTTAACTTTATTTTTTTCTTTTTTAAGATTTATGGCATTATAACTGTGTCATGCTGCACTAAGACATTTGAGTTCTCTCTACTTCTAGTCATAACTGTGCTGTTTCCATACAGGTGCAGGACTTTTATATTGCAGTGAAAAATGAGCCCACAGTGAGTAAAAATGTGACATGAACTGCTTGAGGTTCAAAGTTTTAAATTGTTAAAGTCATTGTATCATTCCCATCCAAAACAATTAAACTAAGGAGCCAAGGGATCAACGTGTCGCTGTCCAAATATTTGTGCAGCTCGCTGTTTGTGCAAAGAAGTGGAAGATGAGAGGAGAGCGCAGCCATTCTCTGACCATCTAGAAGCAGCCAAGCAAATATAATAAAGCCGACGACAAACCTCCACATGGCGACAGCGCGCACACACACACAACTGCAAACATCCTCCACACACACACACACACACTGGTGTCCAATCAAAGTCGAAAGGAGATTAAGAAGAAAGACCTGCTGCACAGATGTTAATTTCAACCATCTGGGAAAACAGTCGACCAGACCTCAGAGTTACTGGTTGATTCATATCAGAGATGCTGCCTGAATAGCATTCAGATTACGGCACAACACACAGGAGTAAAGGAGTGGAAAGAGTCTAGGCGAGGTTAATGTCCTTGACAGCATCTGAAGTCAATTTGAAGTCAAGAATTGAGATAGCTCAGCAGCGGATCAAAGCCAAAACAAGATCAAATCTTTTTTTTCACCTTGGTTCTCTTACCCAACCTCAAGGACACTGCATCATGAGTGCATCTTCCCTGTTGGCAGAAGGAGACCTTACTGCATATAGGAAGCCAGTGTTTTCAAAGTGTTTTGTTATCTTTGATGCCTGAAAATTGAAGGCACAATCTTGCACGGTTTGATTTGTGATACCACGGTCTATTATTGAAGAGGCTTTTCTCTGAAGTGCAGCGCCGCATGTCAAAGTGGTGTAAAGGACGTCCTTCGCTGTGCTACGCTAAAACAGGCATTACCACTATGATTTGTCTTGAAACATTTATCTAAGAATCAGTGATGAATCTCATTAAGAATTTACCAACTTCTCATGCGTTACTGATTACATAACTGCCGAAAAGTGAGCGTGGAGCTCGGGGAGATTCATCCTCGGGAGCTAAAGTGCGAGGGTGTTATTTCCAGTGATAGGTCCTGGCATCCTAAAGTGCGGCGGGAGATGTATCCGGAAGCCAGGCTTTAAATTAAAAAGGGGAAATCACCATTTAAAATAAAATTGACGGAAGCAACTGCAACAGAAGACGGATAAAAGCTGAAGCGGCTGAGACATCGTGTTTCCCATCAGAAGGGAAGGAATAAAGGAGGAAGGAGCAGATAAAGTCAGTATGTTAATGTGATTTGGAGCTTTCTGTTTCTACTTTCATGCAAAGAAAACTAAAAAAAAATCAACTATAAATAGAAACTTGGGGATTTGAGGTGTGATTTCTAACACATACTTGTTTTATTTGTCCATCTGTAGGCAAAATTACTGAAAAACTACCAGGCCGGTAAGGAAAGAAGCCCTTTAGACGTGGATCACTTTCCCTAAATCTGTGGCCTGAGCATGCTAGTTTTAAATACAAGTTTTAAAGATTAGCACTGGTGATATTCCGTATTTCAATTTTTGTCAACAAACCCCATAAAAAGACCACTAAATTATCAAAACAACAAAATTACCTCCTTACAATGAACATGTGCACTGTAGTTTTGTTCCTTTGCCCTAAATGCTCACATCGAATGAGCTAAAAAATATTAGGCCCCCACAAATGCACTATTTACACCCATTAGAACAAGAGCTGATAAAAACTACAGTGCCCAGCTCTCTATATTTAACCTTTTCACTATGTATGTGAGCTGTTTTTTAAAGATTCATGCGTTCAGTAGAAACCAAAGTGCCCGAGGCTCAGTGCTTCATGCAGGGCAGGGAAGCTTCACAAAGTTTTGTTGGTTTTGGTCTTTTCACGGGATAAGTTGACAGAAAACACCAGTTTTGTGCTTTAAACTGCAGGATTTAAAGCCTCAATACTGGCTACGTAGCTGCAGACACATTTCTCAGACCAAAATGTCAAAAAAAAAACAGACACGTTTACATGAGGCGCTCAACCAACTTTTCTGGCACTAGCAAAATGCTTCTTGATGCTCAAAAAAAAAATTTCCTCAAATGTTGCAACTATTGCTTTCTATGTGAAATCTACCACACTGTGTCATTGTGTTTATATAACTGTGGAGAAAAGAGTTACGCAGGTTAACCCTCTGAAACTCAAAACCCAAAAGCGCATTCATTAAAAAAAAAGAAAAAGAAACCCCAAAAAACATCATCTACAGAAACTGCAAAAACAGAACGAATCGTCAAATGTTCAACTTTCCAACCGTCCTTGAACTACGTATCTATAACATGACATTCTATTGGGAAACCTAACATATTCTAAGTTTAAGATCAGGGTGTTTCATCAAAATAACTTTATTTCACATATTTTACAGTGAAAAATGAGCCCAAAGTGAGTAAAAACATGACAGGAGCAAATAAAGAAACACCCATAAACTGTTTGGGGTTCAGAGGGTTAAATGCCGTTATGCATTATGCTTGTATTATCTGTTGTTGTGCATAAAAAGCTCACACCTGTACCTGTTTGTACATGTTCTCTGTTCTGTTTGTGTCCCAGAGAATGAGGTCAAGATTTAAAAAAAAAAAAAAAACACACCCAAATTGAACTTCGGGCCGACCAGTGTTGGCTTTAAATAATTCTTATTTGCATGCCTCTAGTTTTGATGTAAATTTGGACAGCGCAGACAGACGGAGCATGACTTTGACCTGTGCAGCTCGGGAGTTAAGCCATAATCAACAAAGCAGCAAACAGAACCACACAGGACAGTGGCCACAGGCAAAGGGTTTAGCTCTTGGGTTTTTTTTTCTGCATTTTTTTTTTTTTTACCCTCCGCTTCTCTAATTCTTTCTGGAGCTCCTCTGCTCTCGACTTTTCGAGGAGCAGGCTCTGCTCAAGCTGACGAATATGGGCATGTTCCAATTTCGTCTGAGTCTACAGAAAGAGACAAAAGAGAAAGACAGAGAAAAGGGGGGAAAAAGGAGGCTGAAAGGGAAAGAGAGCTATAAAGATCAAAGAGGAATGATAGGGATCAAAACAACTGACAACAGATGATCAAAGGGCAGCTCAGCAGACGGCAGCACCGTGAGAGAACTGAGCTGATCACATGATAGGGAGATTTAAGGAGAAGATCTGAGGTTAGACTGCATTTTCAGAGAAAGTGCATTCTGCAGTTACGGAGAACTTTGTGGTCACTGGTACATGACTGGTGAGCACTGAAGTTTTCCCTGAAGAGGGCTTAGGACCAATTATTGCTTTGTGAAATCCTTGAGCAAAGGCGGACGAAGACTCTGAAAGCCCCACATCTCAAACACAGTCGGGCAGCAGATGCTCAGTGGATGATTCTGGCTGGCAGGCTGTGACTTCGGTTACAGATCAGACTGTAGTTCTGTGTCGGTGTTTTATCGGGAGGTGCGTCGAGCACATGAACTGATGTTGCACAGGATATCTGGAGATTTTAGAACTTCCCACTGCGTCCGACAGCTACTACTTTGAATATAGCTCTTCTATTGATGAATTAGAAAGGTGTGGAGGACCAACAATCTCCTCCTACAGTCGTTCCTTATGAGAAGCTTTTCTTTTCCTGGTGCATATGTAGTCAGCGCGCTTGCAGTGTGGACAGTTACAAATTTTGGGACTGGACATGCACTTTATTCAACTTCTGTGAACTGTTTTTAAAAATAATTTACATTTTTATTACGTTTTATTGAATATTTTGAGCTAAAAGTACAGTGCATTTAGAAATTGCGTACTCACGGTTTCTCACAGATGACAGATGACAATTATTTTTGTTCTTATTGTCAACAAATCCCATAAAAACATGAAGACAAACACTGTATAAACTAGAATCCAACCAGTATGTTGGCTGGCAGATTTATCGGATGATATTAGCCTGTCATACATTGTTTATTGTTTGTATCTGTGTATAAGTTGTCCAATCTGAAAAGTATTTTTGTATAAAACATAACGCCAAAAAAGGTGCTTGACATGAATTAGAAATCGTGTCATCATATAATTGTTGTCTGAGCCCAGACTCCATTGTTTACAATACTCTCAGCAGCACATGTAGCAGAGCAGACAATGTTGCAGAGTCAAGCGGTGTCTTCATTGTAAGCTACTAAAGAGTTTTTAAAATCCATCCATCCATTATCTATACACCGCTTAATCCTCACTAGGGTCACGGGGGGGCTGGAGTCTATGCCAGTTGACTTAGGGTGAAGGCAGGGGACACCCTGGACAGGTAACCAGTCTATTGCAGGGCTACACTTAGAGACAGACAACCAAGCACACTCACACTCACACCTACGGACAATTTAGAATCACCAATTAACCTCAACATGTTTTTGGACTGTGTAGGAAGAAGCTGGAGAACCTGGAGAAAACCCACATTGCACGGGGAGAACATGCAAACTCCACGTAGAAACCATCGGGACGCAAACCGGTGACCTTCTTGCTGCGAGGCAACAGTGCTAACCAACTACACCACCTTGCATCCCTAAGATATATATATATATAAAACAATATATAAAGAAGGTTTCTCAATATCAGAATTTTTTAATTTTTAAAAATCAATATCGGAACCAAAAATCCAGCATCAGTTGGGGTCTAATAGAAACAAGAGTATCAAAAGCCTGATATGTCTCTTTTCCTCTTATCCATAGAGCTCCATTGTTGTCCACAATGCTCTAAAAGCCATCAGCGCATCATGCTTCGCACTGGATGACATTCATTAACATAAACATGGGGCCTAAAGTCTATTCTGACTGTAAATACTCACTACAGCAGCAAATAATCACGTATTAATCCGCTGCTGAAAATAATCCCAACTAATGCATAATTTCCTCCTGTTTAAGTAGCGCTTACAGAAAACAGCAGCGCAACTCTTTCAGGTAATTACCGAGCCTCTCGTAAAAATAAAACTGTAACCGTGAAGTGTTTTCAAAGATTTACATCTTCAGTAGAAACAAATGGACTCAGAGCTGCAGACCGAGAACGGAGTCAGAAAGCATTAAGAGATGACGAACACGCTGTTGGCTTTGGACTTTTCATCGGATTTGTCGACAGTAAGAAAATACAGACTAATGACCGACTTCTCTTTAAAGTGGCGTGAACTGTGACAAAGTGGCCTTCAGAGTTTACCTTTCCTATCAGAGTAGAAAACCTTTTAATTGCACTTTGAGCACGTCTTAGTCTATTAGCAGTGATGGCCTACTTTCCATTTTCCTGTGTAAACATGGCTTCCATGCACTGTTGGATCTTTATGCCGGATTATAGGTTGTAGTACTTTTTTTTGTTTTTAATTAGTCTTGAGGGACAAATGGGAGCAAGGACAGATCGTGTACTTTATCAGATTTTAGGTACACAGCATCAATAAAGTCCAAAATTCATCTGTGGTGTTTAAATCCTCGAGTTTTGTTTGACTTTATATGCTATAACCAAAGCAGCACTCTGTGCTCATAAAACACGTGTACAGTCGAGGACAGCAGTAAACACAGTCAGTGAGATGTTCAAGGTCAAGTCCAGATTCTGTTAAAGCAAGAAACTGAATTGATGTGAACTCCTGTCATTCAACGTCTTTAAAGTATTTATTAACCGTCTGAACCCTAAAACAAGCCACTGGCACTGAAAGGCATGTTTTAAAAAAAAGTAAATGCATAAATCGCCCAAATTTTATCAGTGACACCGTGTAAAAACATGAGAAAATCGTTGGATTTTAAATGTTTTAATAGTCCTTGTCACTCTGTGACATCAGGAGAGTTAACCCAACCTAAGCTTAAAAAACATTTCTTATTTAAAAAAATGCCTAAAATAAAACATTTACACTATTATGATTCTGTAAATAACAAAAAATTCTGCAATTTTATGCACAAACATGAAGCCATTAGTGATTTGGTTGCAACCAAAAATCATCTGGCAAAAATTCAGGGACTCTTTGGTTGAACTGCAGGCTGTGGTCACACCAAATAGAGAGGAGACAAATATGGAAATACAAATCCAAGTCATAAAACAGTTCTAGTTTGTTCCAATATTGGGAACACCTGTGGGCGCTTGGAAAAATGCTGTAAATGTTGATTTTGGGTTTTTATCAAAATAAATATTCTTGCAAAATAAATAATTGAAGCATTTTTGAGTTCTCTCTACTTGTAGTCATGGTTGTTTTGTTTCCATAGACTTTATATTGCATAAAAATCTTGCTTATATTGAGTTAAAAAAAAAGCCAAGGAGCTGCTTAGAGGTTCAGAGGGTCAAACATAATATTTAGATGCGTGCTTATGCGTATGTTGTCTGCAAAATGTTTCGCATTAAGCTAAGTTTTGTGCATCCAAACCATCTTTCCAAACGGTTATCTCTTTGTCTTGATCTCCAGGATGTAAACCGTGCTGTCTGGGTTACACAGAATGAAAAAACTGTCTACTGAACCATTAGTATGATGAAGCACGTACATTTTAGCACTGATGCGTGCATTGAAAACGCTGATACATACCTCCAGGTCTCCTTTGGTGATGGATTCCTCTTCTACTCTGAACTGAAGGTCCTCCACTTTCCTGTAAAGACATTACATCAAACATCCAGAGAGAATCTGAGTTGCTCAGAATTATCAGGATGACTCAAAACCAATCCTGATTTCAAATGAAGATAGCGTGGTTGTGTTTTCAACCAGGAACAAGAAGAGAACACCTGTGGTCGTTTTGAAGCATGAAACCAAACAATAATTCTGATTTGGGTTCCAGAGAGCAGCTGAAATCTGAGTTACCTTTTCTCTTCTTCAAGCTGATTGGCCAGTTCCAGTTTGTCTTTCTGTGTGCTCGCCAGCATTGCTTTGACTTGCTGGAGGGTGTTTTCGTTCTCCGTTACATACTGTGGACAGAAAGAGGAAACATGTTTGTGTATGACGACAAAAACTGATGACCCGCAGCAATAAAACCACCTGATTAAAACAGTGTAGGTCCGTCTTTAATCTCCTAAAAGCTCTGATTACTTGAAGTCTGGACTGCAAAACCTCAGAAGGTGTCTTGTGATATCAGATGTTAGCAGTAGATCCTTTAAGTTCTGAAGGTTTTGAAGTGACGCCTCTATGGATCAGGCTTGTTGTTCCACCACAGTGAACAGAAACTCGATTGCATGTAGATCTTTGAAGGCCAAATCAACACCTTGAGCTCTTTGTCATGCTGCTCAAACCATTCCTGAAGGATGTCGGCAGTGTGAAACGCAGCTTTAGAGAATACTGCTACCATGAAAAGGTGTATGTGGTCTGCAGCGATGCTAAGAGTAGGTGCTACATGAAGGCAGCAGCCCAGGTTTCCCAGCAGATCATTGCCCAGAGCATCAAACGGACCCCAGTAGTCGGCCTTCCTCCCATAGTGCATCCTGCTGCCATCACTTTTCCAGGTAAAGAGACCATGATTTATCAAACCAGGCCACCTTGTTCCATTGCTCCATGGTCCAGTTTTGACTCTCATGTTCTGTTACAGGAGTTTTCCGCAACAGACAGAGGTCATCATGGACATTCTGGCTCTTCTGCAGCTGCACAGCCTCATTTACAGCAAGATGCAATGCACTGTATGCTCTGACTTCTTTCTATCATGTTATCAGCAGTGGTAGACTGGAGTCATCTGGGTGTTTCTGTACATTTTGGTCCCTCATTGCAGTGACGGCAAACCACAGACGCCTGCTAAAAATGCAGGAAATTTAGCGGTTTTGCTCTCAAAATTGTTATTATTGCATCTCAAAGTTGTGAATTGCTCATCTCATAACGTGGGAGGAAAAGATTTCTTCCAAAAAGCTTCCATCACTCAGAAGATCTCAAGGACATGCAACATCACACTTTAGTGCTTTGGAGACTAATTAAATTACCTGTGTATAGACTATAGGTAACTCTTACTCGTTGATCTGCAAACTTTCACAATTTGATCAAAAAACAAGACAAAAAAAAAAGTTGTGTAGACTAAAACACTACACAGAAATGTATGCCGAGCTGCTATTTGAGAAAAAAAGTTGGGGTTTTCAGGAGTCTTTTGCTCTTATTCATACTAACTTACCCTACATTTTGATTTAATGTCACGGATACCTATTGCTTTTTTGCTTTCATGTATAACACCATGTGTTACGTCCATGTTGTCTTTTGTCTTTTCAGGCTATGGCTGACAATAACCGGAACAGGGACGGCTGCTACTGAAGCCCAGGAGAACATCAAGGAACGGTGCCGCCTGGAATAACTCCACAGGTAACTTCATCTACCTAAATATTCACATATAATTCTATATGACTGCAGTGTTACCAGGTAATGAGCCACATTCTAGCAGAATCTATGTTTGAAGCACTTAACAGTCAGCTATCTGCAACATTTTAACAACCATTTCTGCTTTTTCGACTTGTCAAATGCCAATTAAGAGTCGTTAAATATTGAAATTAAATTTACATGCGGTTGCAAGAAGACTGAGTTCGACATGTTGATAAAGGACAGTTTGAAAGCCTGAACATTTGGTTTAGTTTCACTGAAATAACAGAGATAACGTTGTTTCCCAGAGCTTCATTTGTGCCTTAGAAGTTCCTCATAAGGATCAGATTTTGGGCGACTCGATATGCTGTTTTAAGTTCATCAGCTGCTCTTTTTGGACCACTTTTGGTCGGTACTAACCACAACCACAACCTCCCACAAGACCTGCTGCTCTGGAGATGCTCTGACCAACTCGTCTATCCATTACAATTTAGTCCTCCAAAGTCATTTAGATCTTCATGTTGAGAAAATTCAACAACTCACTTTTCACCTGCTACCTCATACGTCCTACTACTTCAGACAATCAGTGTTATTCACATCACACATATGGGAAAAAACTCTAAAATCGGCCAATACCGACATGGTCACTGATATATCGAGCATCCCTAATTAATTTGTGTTGTGGCTCAGCTTCTTTTCAGTTGTTACTCCTTCACAGATCATGCCTTTTTCCACCACCTCTTCATACCTGCACATGCTGGGCCTTGAGGACGCTCAGCTCCTTCTCCACCTCACAGATGTGGCTCGTGGCTTTGGCCACCTCGGCTCTCTCCAGGTCCCTCTCGGCCAGCAGCTGCTCGATGTGCTGCTGCTTCTCCTTCAGGGCCTCCTGCAGAGCCGTGGTGCCCGAGATCTTACGGGCGTAACGCGACGACGTCTCCGTCAGCTTGGAGGGCGGAAATACGACAGGATTAGACAGAATTCATTACAAGTTAATCACCACGTCTCCGTCAGATCTGTTCCTTCTGTATTTTCTCTGAAGATCATGAAAGGAAAGCTGACTGTGATCTTAACATGACACAACATTGCTTTCCCATTAGTCAGATTTAGTTTAGATCAGCCCCAAACTATTTTGCGCATGCTGCAACGATGTTATCACACATCGATTATTTCATTATTAAAATCAAAGTTTATTATTAAGACATGTTGCAGTGATACACAAAGAAATCCGAAGCAGCAAGTGGCTTCTCTGAGTCCTGAAATTTATTAACTTTTTATGTCATTTTCTATCTTTTCGTGCTGCATAAGTTCACATTTTCAAACACCACACATGGCTCGGCCTTTTAAACTTTCATTTTCTTCTGTCCTCTCAGGGAACATTCGATCACTCGGGAAACATCTGCAACTGCAAGATCAAAAACCCTCAAACATTAAAGTGGAAATGTAATGTTGTCTTTGACCACTAGAGTTTGCTCTTTGAAAGGATTCCTGACAGACCTACAAGTTCACTTCAGTTCAGTGGCTTTTATTTAAACAGAATAACAGTTACAAGCCAACTTCTGCATTTAAAAAAAAAAAGCTTTAAAGCTTGGGTTTTTCTGCGGTTTCTTTGTTTCATGCATGATGAGAGAGCGAGTAAAAAGATGAAAAAGGAGACTTTTCTCAACATAATGTCAAATACACAACTAGCAGAGGTCACAAAGGAAATGAATTCTTGCTTTTGTGCAAGCAGCACTTTTATGTATTGCTGCAGGTGAGTCATTTATACATTGGCTGATGCTATTAATACTCTCACAGCCTTAAATGCTGTGAATTAACTCATTGTGTCTCGTGTACATCTCTGTACCTACAAATCAGCCGTGCAAATGAGAGACAGATTATACTTTCTCAGCACTTAACAAAATGAGCTGCGGCCCACCGAGCATCTCCAGGAATGACAGTACGTCCGACGGTTTTGCGCAGCGTGATCAGCCTGATAACTCAGAGAAGCCACTCTGGCCGCTGCCAACAATTAAGGGAAGTAAAGGGGGAGTGTTCTCCATCCAGGACCTGGCTCGCAACCAGCAGCTTAAAAAAAATCAATGTGAGATACCCTCCGCTGTCTCGTTCGTTTCAGTTTGTTGCAGGACGTAGGAACCAGCTGTTTGAGTTTTTCTTTCAGTTGCAGGTTTGTCACACAAAATGCAAAGTCAGTGAATCAGAGCCTCGATCTGCAGCAAATGATTAACTGCTCAGCAGATCAGGGAGTGTGTCACCACAAGGAACCGATTCATCACCTCCTCGTTTGAGTTTGTAGGCAGAATATTTCATGAGGGAAAAATGAAACTGAATTATAACCAATTTTTAGACACTGCAAGTGATTTAATAAGAATTAGACTGTTCAAACTTTTTTCTTTTTACTTTTTTTTGACTTGATAAAACACTGATTATAAAGTTTACTGTACTCACTCACTTTCTTTAAAGGAATAATTTGGGGAAATATGCTCATTCTTTCTCTTGCAAGCGGTTAGATGAGGAGATCTGTCTCACATCTCCCAGACAGCAGCTGGTTAGTTTAGCTTAGCATAAATAATAACTCTAATAATTAACTTTCTTTGTATAACGTCTTTTAAAAAAGCAAATGTTGCAAAGTGCTAATTTCAAATAATGAAAACAATTCAATCAACTTTCCGATTTTTTTTCTTCCAACTGCACATTCACATAAAAATGGGTGTTTGATGCATCATTTGCAAAATAAGAACCAATCGTGTGCCGCCTACTTCAGTCAAGAAGGACAGGTTGTAATGATGAAAAGCTATGAGGACTGTAAAGATTTATGAGGGTACAAAGCGCTGCTGCTGCAAATAATGCACGACAGGAATGCTGGTAGAAAAATGTTAATCGTGTAAGTTAATATATTTATTTTTACCTCTCAGTGCAGCAGCTTGTTTCTAATCTGACACATTAGAGCTCTTTAGTTTCTTCCATTTGAACATAATACTAAATGTTTCAGTCTGGCAGCGTCCCACAATGAAGGAAATGAAGAAATCCCTTCAGTTTTTAGCCTAAATAAAGTGAAATTTATGTTACTGATTGAATATTTTCGGCTATAAATACCAATAACTGATCTATTTTGGTGCATTACCAACTGAATGCATGTCGACTCCCATTGCAATGCAGTGTATACGGTGTGCAGGTTTGCAGATGTAACATGTCCTCTTAGCTGAGAATCTTTAATGTTTACAGACTATAAAGTGAGCAGAAAAGTAGAATTGCGAAAGGCCGATTTAAATACGAAACTCTGAACATAACTTCCTCTGGAGCAGGTTAGCTCTGCAGCATCAGTTACCATGGTGACACTGAAACATACCTCGCTAACCCACTAATCTCGCTTCATAGTTCAACCCTCTGCTCTATCTAACGGTGACAAAATCTCCCTGTTAGCATCTCTAAAGTTCACTTATTCTCACCTTGTTTATTTAAGCTATATGTAAAGTGGCAGTTTTATGGAGGTTGCATGCGAAACTATGAAACTTCACGGTGACAAAACAAAAAAACTGTGACTTCAAATGAAGCGTACGGACATGAGAGCGGCATCGAGCTCCTCATCTGACTCCCTGCGAGATGGTAAATGAGCATATTTCCCAACACGACAAGCATGGTCTGCAGTCATCTTACCAGTCCAGCTCGGCTCGGTCGTCCACCCACAGAGGAGGCCACCGAGCTGACTGAACTGATGGAGGAGCTGCTGGGGCTGTGGGCCAGAGAGGACACCCCCATGGCCACCCGCTTGCTCTTCTTGGCCTTGGCCGGGCTGGTGGACGGGAAGCCGATGCGGATCACCTTGTGGATCGGAGCGAACAGGCCAAACTTGGGAAGACACTGAAAGTATCTGTGGGAAGAAGCAAGAGGTGAGCGATCTGGGACGCGAATAAGTTCATCAGCTACTCCCATTTATGTTTCTATGTGCGGACTGGAGGCCTTTTGGTGGAAAATATTCATCTCCTTTAACCATCTGGGAACATCTGAGTTTCAAACCAGGTGCAAAATTTGCCTCACGGCTCTTTCTGCACCACTAATTAAATGGTTAGTCCGTAAAATCAGCAATAAAACCATGAAACAAAAAGCAACCACTACAGCTGCAGCATTAAGGAGCAAAGAAAAAGCAGCTTTTAATGGCGATTATGTTGGTGTTACATGCACAATGTTGTACGTGCAGAAGCATATATTAATACTGAATCGTAACAGATGATATTTTAGTGAGTTTCCAGTCGTACGACTAAATTAATTCGCAAATAAACCGAAAATCAAATCAGCATTTCAATCATTTCCTAAAAAACAACAAACATTTGCATCTAAAATGTGTGAATTTGCTGCTTTTCTTTGTTTTATATGAAAGGAACATTTCCCAAACAAAACAATTACGCAGTTAATTAGGAACATAATCAGCTCATTAGTCAGTAAAAAAGAGAATTATATGTTGCACTAATAGTAATACTTCTAATTATTCTTGGAATATTTTCGCTAAATATTTATCAAACTATAATTTCTGGAAGATTAACACGGGATTAATGAACATGTTGTTTCTTTATTTCATTGTTTGTTGATGTTTTATTCCTTTAACTAAAGATTGGGACATTATTTAAATATGTGTTGTGTTTACTTTTACTTTATTTCCATACCTACATCTATCCCTACTTTCCTCTTCTTCCTGGCTGCTTCACATCCATGCAAACAGTCCTGGTATAAACTATAAATGGATGCCGTTTAACAAAATTGTGTCAGTGCTCTGTGCTACTTTTTGCAACTCTTTTATTTTTTCCCCATTTCTGTGTCTTTGGCCCTAAATGAAAGCAGCGCTCCAAAATGTCTGCAACCACATTTCACCCATTTTGAACAGTTTTTCCCATTACACACAACAGTATCATGCTCTGGAATAAAACAAATGGGAATCTGAACAAACAAAAACAAAAAACACATATGAAGGGGGAAGACATGACCAGCAGCTCCGGGCTCGAGGACTTGGGTCGGAGTAATTTCATGGACAAACAGATGAAAGAACAAACAGCTGAGCAGATGGATCCGCAGCTCTCAGCTTGATTTCCTTTTAGGGGAAAAAGTAAAGGAATTTGGGGGAGTCTGAAGCATAGGAAGCGCGTTTATGTGTGTGTTTGTGTACCTTGTACCAGCGACTGCGCCGTCGTTCTTCCCCAGAGGCTCGTCCAGCTCGACCCCGCACCACTCACCCTTGGCGAAGTCCGTCTCTCCCATATAACGAATGACTCCCATCTTAGAGCCTCCAACCTGACAACAACAACAAGAGGAGGACAGTTTAATTAAAAGAACAAAGAAAATTACAAGCATTATATTAAGTTGCAGGGAAAGGATAATCAGCACTGGGTTTAGCTTATTAGTCATCCTTAACTCAAGTCAAATTAGTTTTGACACCACTGTGGTAGATCATAGTTTGGTTACAGTGGATTCTGATCACTTTTGCATACTTTACTGCATTGTAGCTTTCATTTCATATGATGAAACTGCTATTTTTGTCATCAAACCGCATGTAATCACCCACCATGACCAAGTGAATGGATGGTTTGAGACATTTTTGCAAATTTATTGAAAGTCAAATGCTGAAATCTCTTATTTATTTTATACTAATAGTGGTATGTTTGTAGGGGGGACAGGTAACTACAGGTGAAATTAGATAATTTCTTTCTTAAAAAAAAAAAAGGTATGAGTCACAGTTTGTTTGTCCACCAAAGAGCACTGACAAACTATTTTTTTCAGCTGTAAATTACCTGCTTAATGGATATCCTTAACACTCTAAACCCCAAAAGCTTACAGCAGATTGAAAAGGCATGCTATATTTCAAAATTTGTGAAAACCAAAATAAAATAAAATTACTGCATAAACAGAGAAAATTGTCAGATTTTTAATTTTAACTTTTTTAACTTTTCTACAGTTCTTGAACTAATCTTGTATTCTGTAAAAATTAAACAAATCTAAGCTTAAAATTCAAAAATGTAATCAAAATCAATTAATTCAACGTTTCTTTAAAAAAAAACACACACACACACACTGGATCGATAAAATTAACAGAGAATGATTCAAAAAATGGCATATAGATGAACAAATTGCGAGCAAGGTGTTGGAAGATACATTTAGCTCAGTGAAACATCTTTAGAGAGTTAAAGTGTGCAGAATGGTGGGGAAAATGCAGAATTTGTAAAAGAATGCAAGCAGCAAAATATCTTTATTAAGTAGTGTCGCCATTTTTCTCCAGCATTGGTAACACCTGTGGAGATTTTTTCAATTTTTGTAAAATAAATAATCAAAGAAATTCAACTTTTGTTTTTGTCTTCTTTTTTTTTAGATTTGCAAATATAATATTGCACAAAAGACATGTTTGAGTTCTCTCTGTTTCTAGTCATGGTTGTACTGTTTCCACGGAGGTGCAGGACTACATGCTGCAGTGAAAAACGGAGCCACAGTGAGTGAAAAATATGACAGGTGCAAAAAACGCTCAGAAACTGCTCTGAGCTCAGAAGGTTAAAACTCATGTCTGTGGTCTGCATAAAAATGTTTGCAACTGTTGCATTAGGTTTATAGAGGAGCATAAATCCAATTTAATTATCAGTATTGTTCTTTAGTCTACCACTCCATGCACAGGATATTTTTCAATTGTTAATGCAATAATTTATGATCATGACAATATGGTTTCTGTATTTTAACTTTTGGACATTCCTTCCTAAAGTGCAGCCAGTAAAAGCATGTCTTTGTGTGTAAACTGGCATCATTTCAATAAGCTCTCAGGTCGGTGTAATTGGCCTTTTTCACAGAAGACACTTCAACATGTTAACATACATGTGTATGTGCATTATTATGTTTATATCAGTTCTTTTCTGTTTTTTTTCTCTTTTATTGAGTATTGTACTTGAATTCTCAATAATGCTTATGTATTATATATGCATTGCTTATTCTGTATTTATATATATAAATGTAGTTTAAGATAAATAAAATAAACTAAACTAAACATGCCACAGTAGAAAATGTACCAGCTGGATTCACTGTCACGGCTCATCACAACAGAATTAAGCCATAAAGGATAATTCTGGTTTATTTCAACCTGTTGTATTTTTTATATATAATGCAGAAAATAGCCACCTGGAGCAGCCATGTTGTTTACTGCATTAAGGATCTCTAACTAAAAACTTTCTGGTGTCTCAAATCAAAATGTCTTCTGTGGAAAAAGCCCTAAAAAATAAGCTGAAACAGTGTTTTCAGTCTTTCTCGCAAAATCCCTCAAATCTGGTCTTCAAAGCGACGAAGAGGAATAATTGCTGCAGTGTATTCAACAACTGAACAATGAACTTATTCTTACCAGACTCACCAATTCTGCCTGCTCAGCTGCGATACGCTGATCTGCCAGCTCGTGTCCCGTTCAGCCGAGCTCACTACACTTTCTTTACGTGTCGGCCAACATGCGCTGGCGCTGGTGAATCTGTGATATATGAGCTGCAATATGCTCATTTTGTCAGCGTTTTGTGGCATGATCCTAGTTGTGCAGGATGTTCAAAATAAGCAGACAAGGCTCTTTTTTTTTTTTTTGCTGTTTGGCACACGACTGTAATTGGCAGAGACGCTGTATTCTGGATGTCTTCCAAGTTTATGCTGCGATTAGAAATACAGGACACATGCAGTGACGTCCTGAGCTAATAAGAGTGGCTTTAAAACGTGCAATTTACAATCTTATAAAGAGAAAAACTGGAAAATCTTCATCTTTGACTTGCATAAACCAAATAATGTTTGGCATTTTTGCTTTATAGATAACTTAAACTTGTTATTCAATCATGTTTCAGCTTATTTTTTTAACCTATAGAAACTTTAAACTCTCTCAGGAAACGTGAGCTCTGCCTCCATAGGAAGTCATCTGTCTCTTGTGATATATTTAGCATCGTCACTTCTCACAGCTCTGAAAAACTGCTTTCCTGTTCGGAAGATGCTCTAAAATCCACACAAAACTGACCCGCACAGCTGCCGAATGTCTTTCACACATGTTGACCACATGTAAGGCCCACGAAAACTCTCCAGTGTGTACAAACGTCCCATTTCCTCAAAGAGGTTCCTCTAAAATGTCATTATACAGATCCAGACTTTTCCTACTACCTGTAATAGATTACATTCTGGGCCTCTGTAACTACACTACTGTGTTCCCATTCACAGGCATTTGTGGAATTAATGTGCAGAATGAACAGATGTGAAAGAGCAGCAGATGTTTTCGCACATCTGCAACATTTATTACCATTAATTTAGCATTTAACAACCATGACCTTTCTCAGAATTTTTAATTTATTGTTTTTGGAGCGCATCCAGGTCACAGATAAAAACATATCTACATCTATATCTACATCTATCTATCTATCTCTATATATATATATATATTACACACTACTTGATTCAGAACGAAGCTGAATGTGAAGACAGATTAAACAGGGTGAGGTGAGTCACTCTTCAGATTTCTATTGTCAAATTAATATTCCCCTCCTGAAGCGACTCTTCTCAAACCGCTGAGGCCAACGAGGAAGTCGTGCCGAGGAACGCTGTGGTGTCACGAGATGTTAAGCTGAGATGGTTTGCCGTCAGCTCGGCTGTGTGATGTCTCAGTGACTCAGTGTCAAAGCGTCAGACAGCCAGTCAGCATCAGTCGCATCCCGACTCCGGTTAGTGCCAAACTCATCCAAACGCCCCGTATAGCAGTCCTGCACGTGTTATAGATAAATCCCTACCTCAAGAATTAAATTAGCTCATCATCCCAGCTAATCTCATCGTGTTCTGATAATGTGTTTTGAGCTGAGTTTGTCAAAGCCCTATGTTAACCCTCTGAACCCATAAACCTGCCAGCTAGTTAAAAGTTAACCAAATCTAAGCTTAAACTTGTGATACTTCATAAAAAATCTCTTTCTCTGTAAAATAAATAATTCAAGAAACATAATTTTGTTTATTTTTTAAGATTTATGAAATTTTAACTGTCATTCTGCACAAATTCTGCCTCTATACAGATGCAGGACTTTAAATTGCAACCAGCAATAAGCCCGCAAGGAATAAAAATGTGACAGGTGCTCAGAGGGTTAAAACAGATCCTGTTTTATCGTCTATTTCATTCTAAATGGGACCATAAATTACAAAATGAACACCATGTGGTATTGAAAGAGACTTAAAACTAGTGGTTCAGACCATAAACTGCTGAGGAAAATGTTTACTGAGTGAATACATCAAGAAAGAAGTAGAGTCATTTTATCACAGACGTCTATAGAAGCAGCTAGAGGAGTCGCCCCCTGCTGGCTGTCAGAAAGAATGCAGGTTTAAGGCTCTTCTACGTCAGATTTACTTTTAAGACCCAGAGGTTTTGTCCACCTTGAGTCTGTGGATCATCTGACTTTCTACCACCATCAAGTGCTAACACGCTACACTACAATGTGAGCATGCAAACAGTAGATAAGTATAAACTCATACAACGACCCATTAAAGGTGATGCAATGCAAACTTTGGCCCAATTTCATTTCCTGGTGCACATTTGTGAATTAAGTCCATGAGTGCTACAACAGTGCATCATCAGTCAGGCTCTAGTTCAAACATCCACAGTCTTGTTGTCCAAGACTTGTCATAAGAATGAATGCAGAAACATTTAGGACCTGTTTTGAAAGCTATTGTGAGCAAACATGCATGCATTGAACACTTGGTCAGACTTGATGAAATTAAATCTGGAAATCATCTGTTTAATTACACCCATTTTGTGCTTCCATAACCGTTCTATGCTGGCGTGAAGGAATTTCCCTGACTGGCAGCTATTTGAGTGGCTTTCAAAACATCCAAATAAACACCAGCCGCATCACATGCAAACCCACTGAGAGAAAACACTCATTTAACCTCCGCTGAGCTCTGCAGCGGCAGAAAAGGCCTCTGGTTAAACAGTAAAGCTGGCGGAGAGGCACTTTTTCTGCTTCCTGCCGGTGCTCGGGTGTCAAAGGTGGCGAGGCGAACGGAGACAGTGATCCTGTATTTAGCCTCCGAGGCTGTTTAGGAAACAGTTCTGCAGTTCTTTTTTTTTTGTTAAATATTCAGAGCAGCATCCTCTCGAGGCAAACTCAAGAACACACATCAGCAAAGCCTGACCTCAGTTCAAGATTACTTCTCAGCAAGAGAGCCGAAGTGTCGAAGAAGCCTCCAGACGGCTCGACGAAACGCACGCAGAAACAAATTACTATCACATAATTCAATACCTAATGGAGATTCTCTTTGTGTCCACAGAGTGTAATCTGAGTTTCACACTTTGTGCTCATTTCACAGAATTTTTGGAGGCAGTGTTGTGTTTCCAGCAGCAGCAGCAGCAGCAGGGCTGTGAGGCGGCTGGATGGCAGCACATCCAAGCCACCGCAGTGAGATGGATTACACAGGAGAGGCTTAGCAAATAGATGGATTCGCTGATCAATGTGTCAGCAGTTGGGCTTCTCCCAAGTGCTGAAAGTAATCCGGAGTGATTTACAATATTGACCAGTAGGAAGGCCGTTCGAGCTCCTCGCTTCTGACTGCACAGGATCTGATGTAACTGTCCCCTGTGCCCATCAGTAAATGGAAAGCTATGTGACCTGGGGCCAGTATTTCCATGCACCGAACGCCGCGTCAATAAGGAAATACACAAAACGCAGATAAAAAAAAAAAAACAAAAAAAATATCTCCGTTTGGACCAGCTTACGTGCAACAACAAGCTATGGGATAACGTTTCAACAGAGGTTGGATCAAGGTTGAATTCCAGCACCAGAACCAGAACAATCCTCTAATGTGTCACATTACGACTGCATGAAATTGTAATTAGCCATCCGCTGGGACTCAATCACATCCAGCTACCACGGATTATGTTAAAGTCAAATAATTACGAAAAATCCAGTTCAACATCATAAATTTTAATTGCCAGATTTACTTTGGCTGTGAAATTATTTATGTTCTCATTTGTCACAGAGCTGGAAAAGAAAGTCGGCATCTTTCTCCGTAGTTAGTCTCCACAAACCTGCACTAGAAAATGATGGATGGATGAAACGTTTGGATCGCTCATGATACCCCAAGTTTCCATTGTGGTGCAAATTTCCAGAAGGAACATCTGTGATAAAGCTGCAAAGTGGATAAATGTTCCTTCTTCTTGGAATGCTGACATGTAAACAGTCTGGTTTCTTATAAAATATACTCTGCTAAACACCTGTAAAATGGACCGTTTCTGCAGTCTTTGAGATTCTCTTGCCTCTTCAGAGACAGCTTAAATTTCCCTGATTTATTTTGCCAAGAATTAAATTTTAAATATAGGTAAACTGTTTAACAAACCATTTCGAAGGAGCCAAATAATAAGAGACAAGTTAAACATCTGAAGTCCAAATTGACGGCAGGTTGTCTTTATAAAGAATTATCAACCATTTATCAGAGCCAGAAACTATTAAAACAGAAGGAATGTCATGAAACTTAACCAAGTCTGAGCTTCAAGTTGTTTTGTTTCATCAAAACCACTGTATTCTACATTTCTCATTTAAGATTTACCTAAAGAAACAGTTTCCTCCAAGCAAATTCTGTAAAAATCTAAAAATTCCACACTCCTCAGTACAACTAAGAAGCCATCAAGGACCCAGCTGCAACCAACAGTCATGTGACAACAATCCAGGGGCTTTTCAGGTGACCTGCAGGCTGTGTTTAAACAGAACAGAAGCAAATTAAAAATGTAAATAGTGAAATATCTGTACAACGTAGAGCCACCGTTGTTTTTAACTGTTGGTAGCAACTGATTCCAGTTTACTTCATTTCTTGCAAAAACTAAGCATCAAACAATTCCAGCTTTTCTTTTTTTATGTTTTTATGTTTTATTGACATTTTTGAGTTTCAGTGTTTCCATGAGTCTCTTTGCAGGAAGTGCAGTGTAAAACAATTGAAGCCACACCTCATGCTGTGACTTTTTTTTAGCTTCTTTTGTACAAAAAGAAAACTTGCACAGTTCTCAAGAGAAATCTGTCTGATTTATTCTGATTTAAGGATTCTTGAATTGAACAGTGTTTGCTTCCATGCGGGCTTCACATGTGCATGGCAAAATGAGCGAGAAACAGGACAGGAACACTGAAAAGAAAGATTTGGTTGCAAATAGAAAGGAGTTGTTCGAAAATATTTCAGCTAAAAAAAGGATGATGTTGACTAAAAACAGGCATTCTGTCGGCAGCGTCTTTTTCTTGAAGTTGTTGCAAAAATCTATTTTGGATGCCTTCAGCAGCGTTACACAACAGGAGAAAGAATTCAAACAGCTTGTTTAGCTTCTCTACAATTATATTTTCATTCTCAGGGCAGGTGCACTCCAACAAAATCAGTCCAATCACTCAAGAATGATGACTTTTTTCCACACAGAGTTCCTTAAGTCATCCGGTGAACATTTTTGTATGTTTTCATATCACAATATAGAGCATATTGCAGAAAAACTAAATGTCCTAATGTCATTTTTTTCCCAATATCATGCATCCCGGTTTAAAATGGCTTGTTCATTCAAGTCCAAGTTGGAATTCTTTTTCTGTTTCTTTGTTTTTTTGCCATTCAGTTGCTTTCTTATATGGTATTGTAACAACAAACACCAAAACCTTGAATAACCAGCAGAATGAACCTGACATCAGTAAGTTGTTGTGTGTTTGTTTCTTGGTGATAGAAATATGAACTTTAAGAGGAACTTGTGACACATTTTCAGCACAAACTTACTCACCAGAACTCGATCTCCAACTCGAAGATCCTTGTCTCCGCCTTTTTTCACTGATCCGCTGTCGGACATGTTGGACCCCGACTCATTCCCGGTTTTCACAGCGCTGTTGAGCAGCCCCTCTCTGAGCGGCACCACCACCCGCTGGCCACCAGGGGCGCCACCGCCCTGCTGAGTCTGATTCTGGGCTGAGTCGGTGGAGTGGCTGTCGCTCCCCTCACCGACCGGCTGTCGGGTGAGCTTTGAGGGTCGCGTAAAGATGCCCTGCAGGGGCTGGCACTCAAAGTAGCGCACGCCACCCACTGAACCATCGTTTTTGCCAACTAGGTCATTCAGTATCACGCCGGCCCACTGTCCCGGGGCGAACTGGGTCTCCCCTAGGTAGGCGATAACTCCTGGTTTGACACCGTTGACCCAGACCTGTTCGCCCACAGTGTAATCCCCCAAAACATCATCGCCCTCCTCGGAGATTTTAGTCGGTGTGGTGGGCTTGAGTGGGGTGCCTGGGAAAAAAAGAAATGTGTTGTTATTTCCCAAGTTGCAGAGCAGCACAAGTGTTCATAAAACACTTGGGTGACAGAAAAGGAAATGGTCTTTAATGAAATAAAACTAATTTAATTGTTATTAACATCACAGTCCCTGAGATAAACTCCCTTCACTGGTGTGTCAAGTTGTAAACACTGTGCACATTGTGAGGACATCCTCATTCACAGTCCGCCAGAATCGTCTTCACACTATTCATCCCGTCCCACCGCGTCATGCAGGCAGGAAAAAAGGAAAAGAAAAAAAACCCTTGTGTTGCAGCAACATCCAACACAACAGTGCAGTTTGTGCAAGATTAGGCAATACTCTAATTCCTTCTGAAAAGTGGGTCAGAGAGATGGTATCTGTGATGTGGCGGTGATTAACCCCGCCATGCAGCCCTGTGATAGTGCCTGTTTGACACATAGATGAGCTGGATCTCTGGCTTTTTCCACGGCAGCCTGTAAACTGAGCAGGGCACCATTAACAGGCGGTCGGCTGCACCGCGCCGCCAGTAAAAGTGTGTTTATCTGTGTGCAGGAACGGTTAGTGCCCCGACTGTCTCCCCGACACCCTGACGGAGGGCCTGAGGCTTCGAGGGCCTCGACGGCTGCTGCTTTATATACTTTATGCCCCAATTGCTTCCATATGTTGTTACGTGAGACACAAACGAAAACGGGTACAACTTCAAAAGGGCTTTAACTTGATGATACAGTTTGGAAGTTTTTAGGAATGTGTTGCGTCTGGTAGATGGTTATTCTGGGAGAAACTGTGACAATTTTTTTTTCCAAGTGATTAAAGATGATAATATATTGCAGGCTTTCAGCAGAGAAACCTTTTCAAAGGTGCATTTCATTTGCTTTTGTCTGGGAGTGACCCATATCGAGCGTTTTCTGCAGCTGGGACCACAGCTGGATTATGAGCTGCATCCAAAGCACCAGAGATGGTTTAAAAATGCACCTGAGAAACCCTCATGCTAAAAAGATCTGACATTTGTGGTTGAGTTCATTGTCACAATTAACAGACTAAAAGAGAACTCTATAGTGAAGTCTGGACTTAAGATTAGACAGGATCTTTGCATTTATAGATTAGGTTATGTAGGTGGATCGAAAAGTTCAGAGACAGTCGTGAAGGTGTAACATATGCAAGCAGTAACTGTCAAGAGTCAGGATGTTGCGTGACACTTTACTGTGTTACACAAATCTTTGTGTAGCATTTGCAGTTTCTCTGCGGTGCTTAACTTGGACAAGAAAGATTAGATTAGAAAACATGGCATTCTTTGTAAGTCAGCAGTTGAGATGATCCAACTTTCATGTGGAGGATCATCATTGGTGACAAGCGCTGGGTCTGCAGCTACCACTAAGAGAAGAAACAACAGTTTTCACAGCAGAAGAGGCAACGGACTCCAAAGCTGCAACAAGGCGCATCAGGTCTGAGCAGGCCAGAAGCCTGCTTGTTGTTTTATTCAACGTTAACATCACTGTGCACCGTGAATTCGTCCTCAGGGTCAAAGTGTCAACATGGAGTTCTACTGTAGCGTTCTGAGGTGTTTGAGGGAAAACATTCAATGCAAACAACTGAACTGTGGCGCGATGGCGTGTCGATCACAACATGGTGATTACGTACTTTTCTTTTGGGACTAAAACAGATGAAGTCTTTGCTCTCCAACTGAATTTCAAGTAAAAGGGTCACTATTTTGAATCATTCTTACAGATTCAGTGCTAACCACAGACACGTTTACCTAAAAGGGCTTCCAGTGGGGGTTTACAAAAGCTGCAGGAGCACTAGGAACAGTGCATCACCACATAAGAACAAGACTATAACAAGAAGCCAGCTAAATTTAAATCACGTACATTTAGCATTTTGATCAACTCTTATATATACTTCAATCATTTTCCATACAGAGTGTTGACTGACTTCATCAAAAGACACCTTATCATGTGTTGCCAAAGAGATCTTTACGAATATCTGACGCAATTCTGTAAACACAAGTTGAGCCAAAGATGTAAATCTGGACCACTCAAGTGACCCGAAATAGAAATAATACTTTAATTTCCTAATTTCCTTGTCTTCCATTGAACATTTCATTCATTAACTCAAAAAACTAACGAATTACTAAAAACCCATCTTCCACCGACTCCTACTTCAACAATGTCAGAGTTTTCCAGTAATTTGGCACTGTATTTCTGTTCAGTTGCAGGACTTGCAAGAGGCTTTTTTAAACCAAGAATGGTTGATATTGGCGTACTAGCGGCCAGGTTATCCCAACTTTTAGCCCCTTAAACTACATCTTACATCTCCCGTAATACAACTTAATAATAAAGCCTGGTGGATGCTGGAATTTTTTGAGGCAGATACCAACATGCACAAATGTAATAAAGTCAGTCGCTCTTTGTGGGGATAAAAACTATAAAATGGAGCCACTTTTTATAAACTACCTTCAATATCTTCTGAGTTTCATAAGCACTGATATTGGTCTATCTGCCTCTGGGGAGCTGGGAAACAAACCTCTAAAACATGCCACTCAGAAGTATGACTAATCACAAAGTGATGTTTTTGGAGCAGGAAATGCAGGTTGAAGTAATGCAACATGTGATATGTGATCCAGGCCGACGAAAACCCAGCGTGGCATTTAAAACCTGAGCTAACCCATGATTTGGGTTGCTGGGGCAACAGGAGAGCGAGGGTAAAAAGATCCTCGGCAGAAGGAAGACTGGAAACACAGCCCTTACTTTCACTATTGTGCTTGGCCACCTCCCACCACCATCTGAATCCCACTATTCATCAGCTCGGCACAATGAAACCTCCACAGCTTCCTCCCGTCCCTCCTCCTCCCAATTATCCCCCCATCTCTCCCTGCTTTGGTCGCACACACCCGGCTTTCTCTGGCTCTTTAGCTCCACTTATTTATGATCATTTTCCACAATGACTATCACCTTCAGGCTCTAACTTGCTCTTTTTTTGTGTGTTTTGTTTTAAATGGGGGTTTATTGGTCGAGTTGGTTGAGGCTCGCGTTGCGTCTTCAGCAGTGGTTGTGGCAGCTGTGTGAGCTGTGACAGATGGAGGGGGGCTGAGCCTGAATGTTTTTCACTTTTGATCAATTTGAGGCTTTCAAGTGTGTCAATGCAGTATCATTTTAGACATTAGCGAGTGAGCGAGAGCATCATGACCTACATTTGATTGGGCAAATCTGCACATTTAGGTTATTACGCCTCCTGCTACAGGCTGCAGGTATTCTGGGGCTTGTTACATCACATGAATTCCCATATGGTGAAAATCCCACTTTTTATGTGCGGTTTGTGGTTGTTATAAACTTGGAAGTTTAAAGTGAAAGCTGTTGAGATTTGGAGAGGTTTACTTCTGCCATTTCTCAAGCTCCGCCACAACTAGTTAGCCTCCCAGTTTTACAAGACAGTAAGTATTTTACTGCGCTGCTATGTTCCAGTGAACAAAACAATAGTCGTCTAGCTCGAACTTTGTGTAGTCCTTCCCCCTTTGCTGCTTCATTCAAAATGAGCAGCTTCTCACAGTCTGTCAGATTTATTTGCTTTCTAGAGCTGCTAACTCTAAAATGCTTCAAAGCTCAACGAACGTTCTGCTGCTGGCTGCAAGACTGAACACAAAAGCCTTCATGCACTCCCAGCATCCAGGGAACTAAAGATCCAATAGATTCATTTTATTTTTGAAGGCAAAGGCAAAAAGAAAAACCCCGGGGGTAACAAAGGGGGCAACCAAAGGGGCCAAAGGTCCCATTAGCTTTGTTCATGTGCCCACAATTCAGAACTCTGTGGAAACACGTGGTAGCTAACATTCAAGGATGGTGAAAACTTAAAAAACTAAATAAATTGATTTAAGACCAGTAAACAAGGACTGAGTGTGTTACTGTGTTTTCATGTCGCCTGTTGTGCTTCAGCTCAAGCTTAGTTCGGCCTGTGCTCACATCTGTTTGCTTCTCTCCTGCTCTCTGTGCTCACATATACTGTAGTGTAATACAATGAAATTCCCAATAAAGCTGTTGTCATTTGTGCATTTTTCTGTCTCTGTTGTCAGGCAATGAAATAAGTATGAAACATGGCCCTTTAAGTCTACATGTCAACCAACAGTCACTTCAGAGCCATTTCCAAGATGCTGCTCTGCACCAATAAACTACTGATTTCATAATTGCAGCATCGTCTGACAAGCTCACCAAACACATGAGGTAAAAACAACGGCGGGGCTGTGAAATCTGCGATATTTCCATGTAAAATTATCACTCAGAAATGAAGTTAGAAGCGATAGAAAAGTCCTGGTCTCACATACACATTCAAATGTGTGTCAGCTGATGTGAGCTCAACAGATCCCTGTCAATCACTAAACCAGGGAGAGTCTTCTAATTTGGGGGACATGAGATTTTCATTGATCTGCTGAAAATGGCCCCAATATAAAATCTTTATCATACTGTTAACTGGACAGCGTTTAAAGAACCTCATTATAGGCATGACATTCAATTTGTCAACATTCACCTCAAGACATTTGAACAGTTTTGAGGTACACAGTTTCTGTCTATTCCTACAATGTCCAAAACATACTTTACATCTTGGGAAGTATGATTTTATCTCCCTCACAGGTGTAACACATCAAGTATATGCAACGTTCCCTAAATGTTCTGGCTTTTAATCCACTTTAGAACCTTTACTATATGTCATCTACTTACTTTCAACAGCCTAAACTAGAAGGTGAACAAATAGCTTCTGCATTTCGTACAGAAAACCTTTGAACGTCAGATTCCAACAAATGGGAAAAACAGTCAGTTTGTCTCCATAAAATGCAACAGCCTGGAAGTACAGCTGAGATATTTCTGCAGCAAAAACCAGCCTCCAAGGTCACTGGAGACGCTGCATCGTGCGAGGTGGCACAGCTCTGTTATTTTCACATCAAAAGCAGCGAGGGGGAAGGCTTGGATACTTTCCTCTATTCACTCCCCGACTACGGCTTCCTCAA